GGGGGAGCACTCTGACAGCGATGACGAGGTGGACTCAGATTTTGACATCGATGAGGGCGACGAGCCGGGCTCAGAGCAGGACGAGGCCGAGCCCCAGCGCCGCCGCCGYGTCCTCACCAAGGCATACCGGGTATGGCGCCATTCCCGGGGGATTATTCTGGAAAAACCCGCCCCAAATCCATGATTTTGGSGTTGTTTTAATCCTGTCCTCACTCGTGATCCTGTTTCTGTCCCCGCAGGAGCCCCTCAAGAGCCTGCGGGCCAAGAAGGCGGAGGGGCCCCGGGGAGGATCCCAGAAAACTCGGGAGGTGAAATCCGTGCCCTTGGAGCTGCAGGAGGATGTGGGGGACAGTGAGTGTGGGCTGGGAACGGGGTTTTGGCGATCCCAGATGGGAATGGGATCCTTTGGGAGAGTTCCCATTGATCTGGGATGAAAACAGGATCCTGTGGGAGAGTTCCCATTGGTCTGGGGTGAAAACAGGATCCTGTGGGAGCGTTCCCATTGGTCTGGGATGAAAACAGGATCCTGTGGGAGCGTTCCCATTGATCTGGGATGAAAACAGGATCCTGTGGGAGAGTTCCTATTGGTCTGGGATGAAAACAGGATCCTGTGGGAGAGTTCCCATTGATCTGGGGTGAAAACAGGATCCTGTGGGGGAGTTCCCATTGGTCTGGGGTGAAAACAGGATCCTGTGGGAGAGTTGCTGATAATCCAGGGAACGGAAACGGGATCCTGGGGATGTCTGGATGATCCTGTGGAACTGGGAACAAATCCCATGGGATCATTCCTGAAATTCCCACAGTTCCCCGTGTCCACCAGGCCGGAAGCACATGCGCCAGTCCACCACGGAGCACACGTGGCAGACGTTCCCTGATAAACGGGATCCTGTGGGGTTTGGGATGGGGATTCTGGGGATCCTTTGGGATCTCTGGGGGTTGGGATCATTCCCAAAATTCCCGCTGATGTCCCCCAGGCCGGAAGCACATGCGCCAGTCCACCACGGAGCACACGCGGCAGACATTCCCTGATAAATGGGATCCCGTGGGATCTCAGGGGATGGGATGGGGATTCTGGGGATCCTTTGGGATCTCTGGGGTTGGGATCAGGATCCCTGGGTGATCCAGGGATTGGGATCAGGATCCTTTGGGATCATCCCCGTGTCCCCCAGGCCGGAAGCACATGCGCCAGTCCACCACGGAGCACACGCGGCAGACGTTCCTGCGGCTCCAGGAGCGCCAGGTGCAGTCCAAGAGGAAGAAGGGAGGCCCCAACTACGAGAGGCCCCTGACCCAGGAGGAGCTGCTGGAGGAGGCCAAGATCACCGAGGAGATCAACCTGCGCTCCCTGGGTGAGGGAATGGGAT